CAGAAGTCTCTGCTGTGAGCACGGTGGCTCGGCAATGGCTTTATTAAATTTTATTGATATTACATGTATATCCTCTTCCTGATTTTTTTTTTTTTTAAATAATTGGATGCATAGAGATAAGAAAAATAAGCACAAGATACTGCTGCTAGTCGCACAGCAAAGCACACAGAAAACGACAAGATGTTACAATGAATGTAACAACACCCGTCCAAGCTAAAGGACCTACAATCCCTGCCCCAGGACGGTACTAGTCTTGAAAAAACCCACACACTCACCACACGGTCATCATCCAGCTTCAGTTCAATCACATGCACAATACAGTAGTATTCTTCCCATGCAGATTCAATTGAACTCCGCTGGCACTAGCTAATACAATCTGAAGCTGTACGTAACCATACAAAGGCCCGCGACGCACACACCACCGGTGCACCCCTACGTTTTTTTTTAAACTAAAAAAGAAAAGCAGTCGTAACTGCCACAGCCACATGGCCAATAAGAAAGCCGATAAGATTATATCAAGACTAACAAGAGTCCATAACCCTGGGTTATGGACTCTTGATAACACACACACCCAGAAGTCAGGGGTGGGCCATGGGGAGCGTGGGATCAGATCAGAGAGGGATACAAACTGCACCAACGAAAAGCCACTGCGCCGAAGTGACAGGAATGCGGTCAAGCACAACATTTAATTTTTTGCTGAAGCAAAAAGTTGCAGGGAAATCCCAAAATCAGTGCGATTTTACATGAACCCCAAATGTTCAAGTAGTTACCCACAAAGACACAGTCAGTGTATGCATGAAGCAGTGTAGGGTCAAAAAATTCAAAAAACAACAAAATCAAACGGCTTCGTATGACCGCGTAGAGCTACTACTTACTAGTACTAGCAAGAGTACATAACCCCCCAGGGGGTTATGTACTCTTGGTACTAGTAGTAGTAGTACCAAGAGTACATAACCCCCCAGAGTGTGCAACGCCTGATCCAGCTCTGCATAGGATGATAGGGTCTTGGTCGAGCGGAATCGGATCTTTGCGTCATAATACCGTACACATCTGAGGGGAACCCGGGGAGTCGCGGGTACTCTTGGATCAAAAACAATGGTGCCCTGCCTCGAGACCGGCCTTGCGCTGGTGTGAAGTGTACGCATGACATCAGAAGATCCGATTCCGCTCGACCAAGACCCTACACAGAGCTGGATCGGCGTTGCACACTCTGGGGGGTTATGTACTCTTGGTACATGTAGTACCAAGAGTACATAACCCCCCAGAGTGTGCAACTCCCACATACCCTGTTGTCCCGACAGAATTTCAAGTTGACGTCATTATTTATGACGCAATGCTCCTTGCAGCAGTGATTTACAACATGTGTACGGGTGTCAACGCATCACACGTTTTTCTTTGCAATAATTTGTACAGAATCGATCGGCTTTGGTCAACCACAGGTTCCGGATTCGTCTGATAATCCGTGTACAGTGCGCATTGCATCATCAAAATGACGTCAACTTGAAATTCTGTCGGGACAGCACCCATAGTGGAGTTGCACACTCTGGGGGGTTATGTACTCTTGGTAGTACTCACGGCTGTCCGCGGCTGACCAGATTACAATATGGCGTCGTTCCACCGGGTTTTAGAGAAGTTTTGGAAACTCGATGCGAATCGGTAAATTCTTGTGAATAGTAACAAAACCAAGTTGGTTTTCAGTATGATTCGACACAAAAAACGCAAACAGTTGAAGATCGTTTGAAAATTTGAAAGAGGAGCATGATCTTGTGCTCCAAATGTTTTTCTTTGGAGCGTTGGAAATACAAACACGAAGACAGACATTGCTGTCACCACGCTGTCTTCTTACCTGTTTACGAGGAGACTGGACCTTGGTCCTCGGCTTTCCTCTTCTGTGGACGAGGAGCCAGCGTACTGGCTTCTTTGGTGGTTGTTAGCAGATGCTGCTCGGCGACAACTTTCAGCCTGGCGAGGTCTCCTGGTATGTTTTTATAGATGACGTTGAGGGTGTTGAGACTGGCGTGCAAGCTCTCTGCCCTTTGCTCCGCGAGCAGGCCCAGACCAACGCCAAGTTTCCTGATGAGCGGCACCGTATGATTCTCTAACAGGTGAAGTTTCGGCGTGATGTTTCCAAGTCGCCGTGCCACAACGTGTCGTCTGCACATCCTCAAGAAACGCCGAACTTCAGACTCCAGCTGATCCATCTCGTCTGCTGAAACTGCCTGGCTGTGACTGAAGATAGCTCGACAAGAAGCGTAGCTGTTCATCAGATTTTCGTGTAAAGATGCTATTGTTTGGGCCTCCTCCGCCAGGACTGGACACCTGGACGTGATGACTGGTACGTGAGCATGGCTGATGGCAGTGATCACGGTGGGCTTCAAGGCTTGGTGGACGTGATTGCCGATGAAAGCACCACCGTGGTACACTTGACGTTCAATCTTGTGGTGTTGGAGAACAGGCTCCACAGAGGCTACGCATGGGCCTTTGAAGTCCTTACTGCGGCATAGCTTGGCAATTTCGTCCTTCAAGGCGTCGACAGTCAAAGTGTGCTGCTGGGTCTTCGTAACTGCTGCCGTGCCTGAATGCCATGTCAAGCTTTCAGGCAATCGTGCCTGAATGCCATGTCAAGCTGTCACTCTCATTGAGGATGTCGAGGAAGTGCATGACAATAGCGACAAGGTCTGGAAAAAATACAGTGGCAGCCATGGAGACATCGCCATTCCGCTTCGACATCGGCAGCTCTGTAGCGGTGTAGCTGGGCAGCGTCTTCGTGATGAACTCTCGTATAGAATGCTCAGACTCCAACTTTACTCCGAAGACCTTGAGCCACTGCCGCAGCTTCCTCAATTGGCTCCATGGCAGTCGGAGGTCTGCCTTGATGGCCAGCGCGGTGCCAGGTGAAGGTGAGCTACACTTGAAGCCAGCTTCCTGCAAGAGCTCCTCCTGTGCAGCTGATGAGAGCCGCTTCAGCCCAGCAATCATTTGCACTCTACCTCCATCCGATCCACCACAAACGGACTCTGCAATTCGGGTCAGCTCAGCAGCGCGGCGTTTGAGTGTTGAGGCAGACGCATCAGTTGACGGTACACTGCACTCTGGTGTTAGCTGGTAAACTTGCGGTTTGCCCCTGCCTCCCTCGCCAGTTTTCACCTCCAGCCTGCCACCCTCTGCCCTAGCCGTGACCAGACGTGCAGTGAGGTTGGTTGCCACATTGCCCTTCAACTTCGACGGAGAAGCACTTAGAACCTCAGCCACTGTTGACGATGGGCGCACAGAGCGGATAGGTGTCGTGCTCGGCGGCGGGCTACGTGCTGTGCTGCATGATGGCGTCTCTCCGGGATTGAACGGGCACATGTTGACATGATGTTGCAAGTCAGGCAGCGGCACGACTTCAGGACATCCACGTAGCGATGGCTCGTGGAAGTCGCAGTGTATGGACTGGCTGCTGACAACCCTGGCTAGACTAATGCTGGGCGTGCGCATCGATGATGCAGCCATGTCAGCACTGCTGCAAGACTTGCATTTGTTATTCGTGCTGAGCCATTCGCTTATGCACTCTGCACAACTCGGATCATTGCAGCATGCTGTTTCCAGGATACCGTCTGCGGCATTCTGACAAATGATGCAAATTTGCACCGCATTTCTGTCTAAAAATCTGTCCCTGTCAAGCGGCAATGTTGCACGATGTTGTCGCGCTGCTCTTGATTGTATGCATTCTGCACTGATATCTAGACCACTTACACTGCTGGTGGCTGAGTGTGTAGGTGATCCATCATCGCTCTGGTGGCTGGGTGCTGCCAGGAGTTCGGCACCTCGCAATGCTGTTTTCGGTTTTGCATGGTGCGCGCTTGCGCCCCTTTTTTTCTGGCTTGCACACGCAGAGCAGTTTGTGCGATGGTGTGGCTCCCATTTGGTGACAGGTCCACAGCCACCTCCACAATGTTCTGCCTTTCTACTGGCTCTCTTTAGGGCTCGCTCGCACAGAATACAGAGGTATGGTGGGTGGATGTCTGAGCAATCTTTCGAGATATCATTGCCATGTACATATTTCAGCAGATCACTATATTTTTCCACACTATATCTGGTAGACTGCTTGAAACAGGAAAACTTTCTGCCACCGACTCGGCAGACTTCTTGCAGTAGCGATTTATGCTCATCCATGATCACTCTACGTCCTCACAACAACTGGAGAGTAACACAATTGCAGTTACGATCCAGTAAGTGTGGGAAATACCAAAAGTTTGGGAATATTGCAAACGCAAGTCACACGGAATTGATGCACGTCACGGAACGAAATTTTCTACAGCACCAGAACGGACACTTACCTACCCGATTCCAAATTATCTAAACGATACTCAAATCTGGGGATACTATTTGGGGCACAAACGTTGGCTCAAATTCTGCACGACGAACGTCCCAGGAGAGGAAAACAAACGTCCTCGAGAGACAAGGAAACAAATCGAAGCAGTGGTCGCGCGGCATGTACGCGGAGCTGAGGGAAAGGCAAAGCCGAAAAATCGAAAACTCACGGCAAACCAAGCTGATTGGAGACGAAAAGTGGCGAAGTCTGTGGAATACTTAGCTGTCTAAAGCAATTCCTGGACGAAAATCATGAATTTTTACGCGTTCTCGGCCGCCATATTAAATGGGCCAAAATCGCGCAAAAAAACAGCCGTGTACTAGCAAGAGTACATAACCCCCCAGAGTGTGCAACGCCTGATCCAGCTCTGCATATAGCCATTATAGGTCTTGGTCGAGCGGAATCGGATCTTTGCGTCATAATACCGTACACATCTGAGGGGAACCCGGGGAGTCGCGGGTACTCTTGGATCAAAAACAATGGTGCCCTGCCTCGAGACCGGCCTTGCGCTGGTGTGAAGTGTACGCATGACATCAGAAGATCCGATTCCGCTCGACCAAGACCCTACACAGAGCTGGATCGGCGTTGCACACTCTGGGGGGTTATGTACTCTTGGTACTAGTATGCCGGCTTTTGTCTTTCGGGTGAACAGCTTTGAGTTTGAACTTGAAGCCTGGTCAGGTCAGACTGTGCTGTAGTCGTTCTTTCAACGTCTTCTCTAACCCTGGCCAGCAGCAATGGCCAAAAAAACGATTATTATAGATAGCAGCAGGCGCTGGCGCCAGGAATTTGGAAATGTTCGATCATTGGAGGATTTGTTTGGGAAGATAAAGGAATATCAGGAGGAAAACAACAAAGAAGAATTCTTGCCTCATCGGACGTCGTATGAAGATGTTATTTGGCAGGAAGACATTGATGGCACAATCGTGGATGATAATGACTATTTCCTGGACCTACCCAGTGACGTCGTGCTAATGGCGTGTGCTGGAGAGCGTGTGTGGCAGCCTGAATTCAGTACGTACAATAATTATGACCATGACTACATTTATTTCAAATGGTGAACGGTACTATTCCGCCAATAACATGTAAAGAACTCTTCCTCACCTCTCCTCCATGCGCTCTCACAGCCGACTCACTGCTACCCTCGGTAGCCATTACACACACCAACCAAGGAAGGGTTGCAGGTAGATACTGAAATTCCTCCTGACAGCTGTTTCGCCTTCATAAGGCTCATCAGAGAAGGTGATACAGTCGTCCCTCTCTAATCCGGCACCTTTTGCTACGGCGTTTTCTGCTGGATTAACGAGGGTGCTGGATTAAGAAATCCTGCCCTCTGACCCGGCCCTACCCAATTGCATGCATGTATCATACGTCAAAACGCAGGGTTTTTCCGTGTCGACCCAAGTATTTGGTGCACGGCTTTATATTTTCAACTTTTCTCCAGGAATATACACAGTGATAAAGTGATAAAGTAAAACAGAGAACATGTTCACATGTACTCTTGCACGCACACGCACACACACACACACACACACACACCTGAAAATTGGCAGGACACTACTCCTTGCTAAAATAAGAAAGTTTTACGACTGCCGGATTATGAAATCAAACTACGTGCAGTTTGAGCGATTCGTTTCAAAAAGTCACTGCCGGAGGCGGAATTCAAGTGCCGGATTAAGATGTAGGAATTGAACGAAAAAAATCGGTTTTGTCAGAAAGTGCGCCGGTTGGCAAGGGTTCCGGATAAACAAGTGCCGGATTAGAGAGGGACGACTGTATTGAATAGGATGATATCAGGTGGAGATGGTCAGATTTATACTACAAAACATGGGCGCAAGATTACGGGCAAAGTGTGAGAATGAGAAGTTACAATTCTCCAGCAACACAGTGCCAGGGGTTCCAAGAAAATGGCAGGTGAGTGATCCAATCACAAGCTGCTAACCTATCCAGCAACACAGTGCCAGGGGTTCCAAGAAAATGGCAGGTGAGAAATCCAATCACAAGCTGCTAACATTAATTTTCTAACGGCTAGGTGATAGTTTAAAGGGGATGTTAAGGCAAAAATTAAAATTTCTCCAGTTGTAGTCTTCGGGGTGCTGAGTCGAATGGTCTTGGTCCGAGAAAGCTGAGACGCTCCCTTCCTACTTGAATCCCAATCGAACTCGCGCACTTCCACCGAAACTGGGTGACTGCGCCCTACTACAGTAGGTATCGGCTATAGCGTGGGTGTTTGAAAAACGACATTTGATTCTTATTGCCGATATTTCTTACACACGATAAATCACGTGTGACATATCAAAATGCACGTGTGACATTATCATATGCACGTGTGACATAATCATATGCGCATGTGCGCACGTTTGGCATGTGGACACGTACACACGGATCAGACTCGCGGTCGACCGGTCGTGCTAGGCGACTAGACTGCGGAGCAGCAGATACGAGAGAAGTCGGAAGAAAGAGTCCGACTGGACAGAAAAAGTGATTCTCCAATGCTCCCTTGGACATAACTCTCTTTTTGTGTTGACTATTATTGTATTGAGTATGCACAGAGCACAGATGTTATTGCTACTGGCGATACACTTCACACTAATCTGGCATATTTTGCTGCATAAAATCCATTCTTAGGGCCGATATATTCTACTATGCGATAATACTGCTTGTAAGAATAAATATACACATAAAATATGTGTTATGATTATGAAAAAATGAGTGTTCATTCTTGTAGGCAGTATATTCTTGTATACGACCACACTATAACCGATACGCACTGTAGATGGGGATTTGTATGCAAAATGTCACTAAAAGCGCCATTTCGTTCTTATAAAAGCACGGATGACCGCGATTGGCCCATATGTTGTAGTCTTTTGGACGCTGAGTCGACTGGTTTTGGTCCGAAAAGGCTGCGATGCAGCGTTCCTCCTTTATTCCCCATCGAACATGGTTGAACAAGTGGTCACGTGCTCCTGGGTGCCCAAATCACCTGGTCACCACGCCAGCAGGCGACAACTTTCACACCAAGGTTCAACTCGAGTGACAGGACTGCACCCAAAAAAGGTCAAACAGGCTAGTAAGTTGTACCCTGCAGGCACGGTGACCAGGTGACTGGCGTACGCAGGAGCACGTGACCGCTTGTTCAACCATGTTCGATTGGGAATAAAGGAGGAACGCTGCATCGCAGCCTTTTCGGACCAAAACCAGTCGACTCAGCGTCCAAAAGACTACAACATATGGGCCAATCGCGGTCATCCGTGCTTTTATAAGAACGAAATGGCGCTTTTAGTGACATTTAGCATACAAATCCCCATCTAGTAGGGCGCAGTCACCCAGTTTCGGTGGAAGTGCGCGAGTTCGATTGGGATTCAAGTAGGAAGGGAGTGTCTCAGCTTCCTCGGACCACGACCATTCGACTCAGCACCCCGAAGACTACAACTGGTGAAATTTTAATTTTTGCCTTAACTTCCCCTTTAAGAATTTTGGCAAGCCATCAAACAAAGTGAAAGAAAGTAGAGTACTAAGCGTGCAGTGCAGCAAAAGTTACAAAGAGTGCACACACGCATGAATGGACTGTAGTTACATGTAGATCTACTTTTCACTTGGGCAGTTCTCCAGCCAACCGCGCAGGCATGCAGAGACGCACCACGTCGACTGTCCCTTCCTTGGTTGGTGTGTGTAATGGCTACCGAGGGTAGCAGTGAGTCGGCTGTGAGAGCGCATGGAGGAGAGGAAGAGTTCTTTACATGACTACATTTAGGCTATTTATACTACGTTTCAATACGCGTCGTGTTTTTTCCACGTACTGGCAAACGTCGTTTTCATGCAGGTGCATTCACACAAGCATGTACATGCGTTTCGTACGGCTGTGCGTACAGCTATTTTTGGACACAAGCTGCCGGGAACTGCAGAACGAATCTCGGTACAGGGGTCTCTGGATACGTCATCTACGTTTTCGTACAAGGCGTTCGATTTGCCCGCCACGTTCCATGTTGTGGCTATTCGGACGAAAACGTCACGTACGCCACGTTTTCGGCGTAGTACGTTACGGGAACTCGACACAAAGAATCCCGGGGACACTCTCCGCGTTCCCATAGCGTATAGGAAACCTGTTCTGCTCTACTTTCACACAAAGAGATCACATGGAATGTGTACTGGGGATTTCCGGTTCCTAATTTGGCAATATTCTCCCTGATTTGAATGATACCCAGCAGATCCGTACGCATTTTATTTGCCACAAAGTAGAGAACCTCATCTCCGCATAGAAATCTGGACCCAAAATACGCGAAGCTGTAGAATCTAACCCAGACACCTGCTCTCTACTTGATTTCTCTGCTTTTCACGAAGAGCAGAACCTCTCTGGTGATGTAGGAACTGAGGGTAATTTTCGTACGTAAAAAACCCGCGCTGTTGGGTTTCACTGTACGGCCTCCGGGCTAACTTGTCATGCACTAACGAGCCATTAGGCTGTCTGTCGTCTTTCTGGTCTTGCAGAATGCCAATCCTCTTCTGACTATGACGCTGTGGACGGAGGTGATGGTGATGGTGCTGCAGACATTGACCTCGACCAGCAGCGTAGCCGCCAAGATCAGTACTCAGCGATCATCAAGAAGCTTTTGTCACCACCGGTAGCTAGTTCATCACCGAAGGATGAACCTGATGGTGGTGAAGCATTGAAGGATGAACCAGATGGTGGCCGTGCATCATCATTGAAAGATAAACCCGGTGGTGGTGAAGCGGTGGACTGGGCGGAAGCTATCTATTTGTTGCGTGACGCGGACCGGAAGATGCTGGCTGCTCATTTGGGAGTGTCCCTATCAGATGCTGACGATATTCAGCTCGAAGCTGCTGTATCTATTGAAAGTATGCATAGGGCACGGGATGAGCGCACTATGAGGTCTTTGGCCTCCCCAAAGCCTGTTGCAAGTGCAAGCTGATATGGCTGTAGTGGAATGGCAGCTGTCCGGTTTGCTTCGGAACTGCTGCTGCCTTGGTGGCCCAGCGTAAGCGTTTGTTGATGATGTCTTTGGGTATGCATGTGTCTCTCATGTGTGTGTTTGGTGCTGGTCATCAGGCACATCGATTCGTCTCCCTTCGTTGTGGCAATTGTTCAATATGTTTTCCTTTACTCCCAATGTTGTTGTTGCTGTGTTTTCTTTAAATTCTTTATTCTCACGATGTTGTTGTTGCTGTAGTTGTTGTTGCTGTAGTTGTTGTTGCTGTAGATATGACTGTCTGTGTGGCTATTGCTATTACTGTTGCTAGCCTAGTTTATGATTCATTCAGCTGAGCTGCGTGAGGCGTCCCTCAGAATTGTGTAGCCTAGTTTAGTACGAGCTTAGTACTCGTACATGTGTACCTCTGCCTCTGGGACCGCAGTGGATTGGGTTACTATGTTTGTAGTTGCTCTTCTTTAAACTGGCTTTGTTCTGTGTTATTGTGCTGAACTTTGTTTTAACCTCTCTCCATAATATTTAGGTACATTAGGATGTGCACAATGTCATGTTTGTGCTGTTGTTCAGACCACTACTAGTATGGCTTGTGCATGGGTGATCGTGCTTTGAAACTAACTTTTTGACACTGTTGACGTGCCTACAAGTAGCAATCTCCTCCATGTTTCTTGTATCACATTATCTTTTGTTTCGAAGTGAAGAGCATAAAAATCAACAAATTTGACTCACTGTTGTAGTTATACATATAACACCGAAATGAAGCGTCCTGCTGTGTAAAATACAACAACTGCTTTCTGTGAGGCTGTGTGTGTGTGCGCGCGCGCATGTGTGCGTGTGGATGTGTGTGTCATACAGTATATGATACCATGACAACGTAGACTAGTACACAAATAGTGTGTACGTCTATGGGCTACAGACTGTGAACAGGCTTCACGTCACTATCATTTTGAACACGAATCTTACGGTGCTTCAACTTTTTGTGCAGCACTACTTTATCTCGAAATCAACACAGTGAGCTTGGGATTTCAATATTTACAGTGAATGCCTTCAAGGGGACAATAAAGAAGCCAGAATGTTCTAATTCGAGACCGATTTCCACGTAAAATACTATCAAATTCCATAACTTAAATTTAGAATATTATAATTTGTCTATAAGGATTGACGTCGGTTGTGCAACATGACAACGGTAGCCATTCAGCAGGCAGGCTCATGACTATGGCTGTCCACTGGCCATGCGAAACAGGCGGAGCAGCGTGTTGGTCTGGTTTATCAAGCGATTGGCGCTCACGAACACGTCATCCGTTCTGAAGAAATTCACACACACACACACACACACAGATATGCTGGTATTGACATCAAGCATACCAGTAGGCCGAAAGTATGTCATGTTCCGGTACTTGCATCAAAACTAGTAACCTCATTCAGGAGCAGCATTATGATTCAAGGCAGATAGTGGCATGGGAGCCTGTAAAATATGCTTACAGAATACAACAAACATGGAGAAGGACAAGACTAATGATAGCTTGCATGCCGTCCTAACGCCGGATAGGACCCAAGAAAACGGTCTGCAACAGTGCTTTCGGTTGGATATTAGCTCGAAACTATTGTTGAGACGAGGTCTTTGCAAGGCAAAGTAATGGCGAACAATTCAAGACTATATATGTCCAGTGCATTGCATATGTGCAATTTTAGCAATTCTCAGAATGGCCGCCGCGTGACATGCTCCGGTCAGAGCGCTAGCAACTATGTCCAAAGTGAAGTTTGCCCTCGGTTGTCCATGGACTGGTGCCATAGTATTTTGTAATATGCCTCATACGATCCCCTCTAAAATGCTTTATTACTAGCATCTTTGGACCATTATTATAAGGTGCCACCCCGTATCAGGTAATTGCTGTGCCTGCAAACATGCAATGTTCAAGTGAGGAATATGGCCCGGTGGAAGTAGCATGCATTTCGTCTAGCTTCTGGTCATAAACTTGAAATCCCCCCCCCCCCCCCCACACACACACATGACTATGTACATCACCCAACCTCAAAATGGAAATAGGACATTGCCAGCTAACGCCTAACGGTACTGTTGGTCGACAGTCTGGTGTTACAGAGCATGACCATCTAAACGGGATAGCTCCACTGGCCGTGAGCAGCATGTCAGCAGAAGTAAGCAGAGCTCAGTCTACTCTGCTCCTTTCATACCTTGCATCTCGGAAGTACTTCTTCAACGTGTCGCTGAATACTTTGGAATGCTTCACAAATGTCCTCTTCTGAAGATCAAGTGCCTGTTCAGTACACACAAAACGAGAAAAAAACTATTAGGCGACAGCAAGAGTACACAACCATGTTATGTACTCTTGGCGACAGGATGAAAGCATCAGCAGAGTCTGAGGTATGTATTGCCAAATGTAACTACAGTAAAACCTGAAACTAAAGACCACCGTGACTAACGACCAGCCTGGTACCACCGACCACTTCGCCAGGCACGGACGGTCTCACATTCAAAATTCACTGTGACTAGCGACTACCTGCTGAACGCGACCAGCGACCGCCTTTTCTTGTCCCAAAGACGATTTTTGACCCGTAACTAGCGACCGCGATGTAGGAAATCAAATGTTGCTCGAAGCTCCTTCTTGAAATTTTGATGATTTTCCGTGGTCCTGAAAGGAATCTTTCGATACCACAGCTGAAGAAATGAACGCAGGTCATTTTGACTGTGGAGTCGGTGTGGACTGCACTACACCTGTCAGAATTTCAAGCGATGTCAAGAATAAACATGATAGGAAACGCGCATCGAAAGCGCTCTCTGATCGATGTTATACTACTCGGAGGAGAAAGGAAGACTGAGCGGCTCTGTCACCCCAGTCATACAGACGAATCGACGATAGCATCAAGGAATCCAGAAACAAAGCAGCACCGCAAGGTCCTGATGCTGGAGGATCGCATTCAAGCAATCGAGAAATCGCAACAAGGACAGTCAATTCGATTGATCGTATGAACAAATTTGAAGCCCAGCCCAAAACGAA